ACACATACACACACACACACACACACACACACACACACACATGCACACACAGATACACACATACATACATACATGCACAAAAAATGTACACACCCATATACACACATACTCCTCCCTCTCACATCGTCTCTTCGGCACCAATCTGTGCACATAACCATAATACACAATGTAATACGAGGGGGGTTCAATGAGTCTTTGATCAGGGTATGAAGGAGTCATAGCAGAGTAATGAAATTTCACCAGCCTTTAGACAATTTCTGAGGACCACAGAAGGCACTTGTCAGCGTGTTCAATAAAACTATGCACAAAAACGTTTGGTTTTTCTTTGCTGAAACTGTGCCAAATAGCCTGTTGAATATCGCTCAGTTATCAAGTTTTTTACACTTACAAGGAAAATCCCCGTCAGACATTTTTCAGGAAATGGTCAAAGATTATGGTGACAAATGTCCTCGTTAAAATATTGTGACATACTGGGTAAGCAAAATCAAATCTGGATTCATGTCGGTGATGGATGAAGATCGTGAAGAGCGCCCATCCTTTGTGGTAATCGAAGAGAATGTATCCATAGTGAAGAAACTGGTTTTTACAAGACTGACGTTAAACAGCTCTCAAGTGAAACGGAAATCATTGTAGGGTCATTTGAAACGATTCTCCTTGACCATCTTAACATGAATAAGGTGTCTGCACGGTGGGTATCCCGCCTTTTGACAAATGAGCAAAAGAAGCAGAGGGTTGAGTCCTGCAAAACTCTCCTTCGAATTAAGTCCAATGACGCAAATTTCTTAAAAAACATGGTGACTATGGATGAAACATGGATTTATCATTTTGATCAAGAACAAAAAATGTCCTCCGTGCAATGGAAAACCCCTTCTTCTCCCTCACCAAAGAAGACAAAGGTAACGCCGTCAAGTCGTGTTTCTGGGATTGTGAAGGTATCATCATGACTGACTACCTGGAAAACGGAAAACAGTCACAGGGGACTACTATTCGGATTTGCTGAAAAAACTACAGTCCGAATTGGTGAGAAAAAGGCGTGGAAAGCTCCGTAATCGGGTCCTCCTATTGCAAGACAACGCCCCTGTGCACAGGGCACAACGAACAGTCCAGACAGCAGAACAGTGCGGCTTTGAAATCCTGCCACACCCAGCTTATTCACCTAGACCTGGCACCTTCAGACTTTTTTCCTTCTGTTTCCTGATCTTAAAAAGTCTTTGAAAGGACGTCGTTTCCATGACAACGAAGACGCAATTGAGGCTGGGGAAGACTGGTTAGGGGCCCATTCTCGGTCATTTTTTCTCAAGGACTTTTGAAGGTCAAACAGAAGTGGCAGAAATGTACATGTATTACTCAGCATGGTGACTATTTAGAGAAACGAAGGTATGTGTGCAAAGTTACAAAGCTCTAAATATCTTTATTTCTTCATATTTTGACCACAGACTACGTGCCCCCCCCCCTCGTACAATGGTATGCTTTCATTCACAAACAGGCTCATAGTTACATGCATAATAATATAAATGAACAGTAACTATAAACATTAAGTGTTAAGCTAGATACGTACAATGTACTATGTGTTCTGATTGTAACTAAATGGGGTTTTTTTGTCCCTTGCCCATTTTTATGATATTGACGCTATCTGATGAGTAGGAAAATATGCGTATGACAGTGTCCAATAGTGTATTACATACAAACTTGTTATAACATGTAACTGTTACATATAGATGTTCAAGATAATATTATAGATGTGTGTGAAGGAGCTAAGAGCAATGAAGATTTTAGAAATGACGGTGGAGGTGGTGATAAATGATGATGTGGGATGGTGTTTATGTAAATAATTATTAAAACGTCATAGTTGAGTTGTTTTTTTCAAATGTTGACTTTAGTCCTATCTTCCTCTGCTTTGAATAGTTACGAGGGATGTGGATACCCGCTATCCTGTTCCCTACTGGAACCATCTTTAATGTCACAGTGAAGTTTCGAAATGGTGGGCACAGTCTCTGCTACGGTGACCTTGTTAGAATTAGCTTATTCTAGCGGGCCAAGACAAGTGATGAGGGGACTTTAGTAGGCAGACAATACAGTGGCAGATATGTTGGGGATTTCGTAAGGGAGTTGGTAGGAAGCAATGAACTCAATGTTATTCTGATGCATTCTTAAAAGTTCACAGGAATACTTACAACACAATGATTAACCCTATCCGTACGCCCTGGGGTCATTTTGTACTCCCGGGGTTGTATTCTTCACAGCTTAGAATACTTCTAGTGCGAAGATCTCTTTGAAACTTTCGGGGGGGTATAAACATCTTGGGTTAATAAGTGCACAGGAACAGCTGGCCGACTATATACTATGCTTCAGCTTCATAGGTATGGAAGAGTGTGAGACGTTAAGAATGGATAATATAATTAGACGTAATACGTTGTTTTTGTTGTTGCCGTTTTTTTAATTCTTTGAAAATAAACTTAATAATTGTTTATTCATCATCCTAATTGATCCATCCATTTTCCCTACAACTAGAGTTATGCTAAAGATGGTAGAGTGTAGAGTGCAGAGGGTGGTCATTTTTCACGTTGTTTCTTACTTCCATGTAGATCCGTACGTCGTGTTTTACTATCGTATCCATACAACGTGGGGAAGTCTGTGCCACAACTTTCCAAAGAGGAAATTTACTCGTTAATCCGATCCGTACGTTTTGCATAGCAGTCTGCCAAAATGATTTTTTGAGAAAAACTGAAAACTTCAAAGAGATCTTCGAACTATAATTATTCTAAAATGTGAAGAATACAACCCCGGGGGTACAAAATGACCCCATGGCGTACGGATAGGGTTAATAGCCAGACAAATAAAATTTATAAAAATAATATAACTTTATTGACCCCTTTGGCAAATTCATTTTACAATGGCGTACGCTAGTCATGTCAGATACATAAAACATAGATGCAAGAATAATCCAAAATGCCACAAACATAGACGGCCCACACGCTGGTACTGGTCACTGCTGGTGAGGTTGAGTTGGGGGATAGTACTAAACAATGAACTTTAACTAGAGACAACAAAATATTGTTGCTTCTTGGAAACTGTAGAGAGTTTCGTGGAAGAAGAAGAAATGAGACCGTACTGTGGAAAGAAGCCAGCAAATGACGGCCACTGCACTGATAACAACATTAGGAAGAGACGGATGCAGTTCCAAAGATGTTTGAAACGATCTAGATCTATAGGCCTCGAACATCGTGCTCTCAATGGAACATAAACATCAACAGTCTAAAGAAGGCGGTAGTTAGACCTAGAATAGCAATTACTTCAAGAACTTGAAAAGATGGGGGACGGGAAAAAACAAGGCTAATACATGCATACCTATTTTGAGGGAAAGAGAGCAGAAAAAAGAGTGACGAACCATGATTGCCGAAGATGTTTCTGATCTGGTACTTGAAAAAGAAGAAGAAAAAGAGACTAACGCGACTTTACAACGAAAGAAAAGAATGGAAAAGGGGAACCAAACTGGTCTTCTCCAACTAAAGTCTATTATTGTCAGTTACTCTAAGCTCCTCACTACTGACACGTAGGTCCCTGGCGGTTTCTTGTCTAGTTGGCTTAATGGTAGCACGACGCTTGGGATTATTAGAAACCCCTGTGTGTGGTGACACCGATAATGGGATGATAACTGGAGTTCGTGGGAGAGGTCTGGTTTTATTCAAATGCTGATTAAAATCTTCCCTCAGTTGATATGGTAGAAAGACACGGAAGTTGTGAACGCCGGAAATACGTCACAACAATCTGCTTACTTAAAGACTTAAAGATAACAGGCTGCTGAGCTATATGTCTCATGGGGGAGGGGAGAAGTGCGCGCGCGCGCGTGTGTGTGTGTGTGTGTGTGGGTGTGTGTGTGAGTGTGTCTGTGTGTGTGTGTG